GGTTTAGTGTTGTCCGTTCGTGAGCTGGACAGTTTTCAAGAAAATATTTGGAATAAGATAATTATGAGCAGACGGTTATTTATGATTAATACATCATTGGACCCCTTTCAAACGATACCCCATATTGAATATATTGTTTCAAAACAAAACTAAAATTTGAAAAAAAAAATAATTTCAAAATACCTTTTTTTAATTTGGTCCATCTCACGAACGGTCATCGCTAGACTTAAAATATTTTGGGAATCATCATAAAACAAAGCAATGTAAATTTTGAGAGGGGTAACAAAAACACGTTTTTACTTTCCATACAGAGTGAGTCGGTCTAATGTACATACATACGTATGTATGTCCGTTTTTCGATTAAAAACAAATTATTCATACGAATGAAAAATATCAACTATATAAAAATGTCAATTATTCTGACATTTTCCTTCGCAGCTTTCGAAGTAGAAAGCTGGAAATTGGAGAATCCAGGTAAATGAACACAAAAGCAAACACTTAAGAGAGAAAGCTACCCTCCTATGATTCTAAACAATGTGTATATTCCACAGTCTGATCACGTTACATACATTAGTATTTACTTGGATAGACGTCTCTTGGCGTCGACACGTAAAAGCCAAGCGGCTCTACATGAAACTAAAAGATTCTAATTTACACTGGCTAATAAATCAGCTATCAAAATTAAGCGTTAACTGCAAAGTCATGCTGTATAAGACAGTTTTAAAGCCAATTTGGACATACGGAATCCAATTATCCCCATTATTATCCGACAAGCAATACTAGTATAGAACTTATACAGAGGGTCCAAACCAAAATTCTTAGAACAATGACAGGGTTCCATCCATCAAGACTAGATGTATCAGTGGTCAAGGAATAATTAAAAAATGCGTGAAGCATATTTAACAAAATTATATTCCCATCTTGCTGGGACACTCATCTCAACACAACTTCGATCAAGGCTACGCAGAGCTGACTTACTACTGTTATGATTAAGGACAAATTGCCTAAAATGATTTATAAATTTCGATACACTATTACAGCCTCCAATTTAATGTTAAAATTTAAAAAATCAAAAGAAAGCGTTATGGTTGAGAGAGCAATACTGACGCGAAAAGTTTTATTAAATAATTATATGTTTTCATTACTAATAAATAAAACATGACTATATTTTTGATTACCTACATATGACTCCTAAATACGTAGGATGCTTTGGAAGGGATATATATTTAAAAATATATTATTTTGACTTTTGATCTTCAATATTTCGTGCAAGACATTATTTGGAATAACGAAAATTTCCAATTTAGAATAAAGAATAGTTCGAACAATTTTTGTCGACTGATCGAATATTCTAATAATATTTGAATGTTACTTTTTAAGAATATTTTATTATATGTACATATAAATATGTATAAAGATATGTTATACTACATTTATGTTATTTACTACATTTTACAGTTTCTAAAAATTTTGGATTTGCAGTGTTAAAAATAAAATGGTTCTAGTTTTAAAAGGGATATTCTTAATTTTTTTAAATGTTTGCAGTAAGTGAAACAAATAAACATTAATTAACTTGGTTCTTTAAGTATCTATCTTTTCACAATTTCTAAGTATACTGAACCCTGTTTCTTTGCCAAGAAAATACCGGTGAAAGACAGAGTGTAACCCTCTACCGAAAAATAAATGGAGACACCACATAGAGGATAGGAAAAGGCTATGTAGGAGAACTATAGGCATTTAATGGGGTCTTAATCCTACACTACTTTTTAAAAGTATGATTCGAATAATTCCAGCTTTTGCTTCAATAATCTTGTTGACTTCTTTGGACAAAAAGTGTAATATCAAACAGTGTTGCCACTTTGGTTATTATTAACCAAAATTGGTTATTTTTATTTTTCACGTGTACATGGGAATTATTTTTTCGTTTTGGTTATTTTTTGCAAACAATTGAACTAAATGCTGTTTGCTTTTATTCTAAAAATAAAATTTAAAAAAAAATCTTTTATCTCTAGTTTTAAATCAACTATGTAAATATACATATCGTCCTGTTTTGAATTTTGGTAATATGTGGAATTTTTTTTTTTACTATTCGAAATTTTTTTATTACTGCAATTTGTACATCTACTGGTTATACTTCTGTGAACAAGGGTATTTTTCGATATCTTAATTGGTTAGGATTTAGCAAAAGTACCTATGAGTTTTCCACATATTAAATGAGTTGATTTAAATCATAACAACACCGTAATATTATTTTATTTACACTAGTCAATCTAACACCGTGAATAATTAATCTTCTCTCTCCTTTTGGTGCATCCATGAACTTAAAATCACTTTTTGGGTCGATTCAAACTAGTCCGTCCTTCCTTTAATATTTCTATTGGAACTTTTTATGTAAAGAACTCGCGATACTATATGAAAAAACGAAGTAGGCTGTATTTCGCATTTCGATTTTTATGGAATTTGGTGGGAATAGTCTACGTACTTAGTAGATTATGTCCTCCAAATTAAATTTAAAATTTGAAGTATAATTGCAACTTATATACCTATTTGAAATTTTGTATAAACAGATACTGTGCTAATTTGCCGAAATTCTAAGATAAATGATTTAATAAGAATTAATAAAGTATTTTCTGCTAATTGATGCAAGAATAGTATCACAATATATTTAAAGTATTAATCAACTGATATTTTTAAGTAACACAGCTAAGGAAAATGAAATTGTATTGTATACAAAAGTTGTAATAACATCTAAACTCGTACGACGAACAATAATCGCGATATATGCAAAGATTTGATACTCATGACCTTTGACTTCTACTATCTCACCATGACTTTTAGTTCTTTATTTACATTTTCTAGATGATGTTGTATACTAGTTTTTATTTTACCGTCTTAAATTCTAAATTTTGGTCAATTTGTCGGATAATTTGGATAGATTACGTTTACAAATATTGCTGAAGTTATGAATGTAATGCTAACATCCGCTACATGGTATTATAATTCAAACCCAAATTTCGAACGAAATCTCCAAATCTGTACATAAAATGGGAAGAATTTTATAATTTAAAATTGTTTTCCAAAAAGTCATATGTGGAGTATTTTTGAATTGCGCTAAAACGCGTTAAAAACTCAGTTGTTTTTTTTATATAAATATTAATTACATTTGTTAACGAATCCGCGAAGAGACATATATTTATTGTTGAAAACTGAAATATTTTGCCAAAATATTTTTAATTGACCCAGTTTGATTGGCATTGAAAATGCGAAATATCGGTCAACGATTTCACTTAGTCCCCATATTATGCCCTATTCAGAAAATTACTATATTGCTTAAAAAAGCATTTATAGCGATGAAATTCAATATAAAAAAGTTTTATTGGAAATATATTTGTCAAAGTTTATGAGGATCGGTACATAATTGACTCTATCCCTCATAAAAAGTCTCCTCAGAAAATGACTTTAAAGCTCATAATGTACTGCAATATTGCAACAAAATTCAACATAATCAAGTTTTAAAGGAACTAAAATATCTCTGTCAGATTTTATGAGAATTGGTCCATAATTGACCATACGTCTCATATAAGATCCCGTGCAGAAAATTACATTAACACTCATAACTGGTATTATAGTTTAGCGACGAAATTTAACATAGTTCCACTTGAATTTGTTATTTTAATGTCCAAATGTAAACATGAAACAAATAAAAATAATTTTGTTTACTTTTTTCTTAATTTGGTTATTTTTTATTCGAATTTTGGTTAGAAAAAAAATTTTGTTGTGGCAACACTGATATCAAACTACAACAGGGAGTTCAGCGTACATGCTGCTTGGGTACAAGTGGTGCCATAAGCACAACGTTAAGCAAGGCTCTAGAAACGTTGCTAGATATTCCACCCATTGAAACCTATTTAAGATATACTTACAAACGAACGGCTCATAACTTTCATCAATATATACAGGACACATTGGAAGGCTATAAGTAATCATCGGACGTGCCTGATCGCATACCAGACACAGAATATGTCGGAAAATTTGAAACACTGAGCACAGATAGAATGTCTTGGTCAAGCGGAACATTTCTTATGAACACTAATTTCTTATTCTTAAGAATTACGGCCAGGAAACTGAGTTTCATAACATTGAAAGTGATACATTCAGGGGACACTATGTTGTCTTTTTTAACTAACAAACCTTTTGCTTCCATGAAAAGCGGCGCACAACGGGCCCGATAGTGGAATAAAAAACTTTTATTCGTTATTCATTCGAATAATCGAATAATGTTTAAAATTTAATCGACTACTCGAATTAAAAAATGTAGTACATTTTTATTCGAATAATTGGCAACCCTAACATTTATCCATTACTTGTAATGTGTAATTGAGCAATACCCAGTAACAGTTACTTCCAATTCAATTATGAGCAATTACAAATACTTGTAATTAAAAATTAATGTTATGTAACAATATTTACAAATTCTACTGAATTATTATCAAGATATGTAATTGAATTATTACTAATTATAATTAAAGCAATTCTAATTAAAGTATTAAAAGTAATTGTAATTGAAAATAAGTGAATTACAATTACTTCTAACGTAATGTTATTGAAAATGTAATTGGCATCCCCCGAAAATTATTTTATACAAAACTAGCTATAAATGTTTATAAGTAGTTAATATTTTAACTTTTAATATTGTTAAATTTTTTTATTATACGAACCTTTATAAGTCCATAATTCGATTCGATTTACTTAAATTATACAGTGCGATATATTACGAATCGAATTATCAAGTGGACCCCCGAATATCATACATATCAATCATCTCACACTAGTGATGGATTATGTTAAATAAAAAATTAATAATAAAAACAAATTAAAAATTAAAAAAAACAACAAAATTTAAATTACAACACAAATACAATTACAAAAACAACGAAAAAAGAAAACTAAAACGAAAATGTAAATTGATGATTTTTTAATATTTATATTAAATTGCTTACCCTGGGCACAGTTATATTTATCAATCCCCAACAGATTTTTTTCAATCCCCATGGTATCTAATCATTTGATTTGATTTTATTATAATTCATTCATTGATTGATTGATTTCATACGTTTCATTCATTGAATGTATTAAACATTTAATTGAAAGTTGTTCGTGGTTGAGATGATTGTGAACGTGGTGGAACGTACAAAACGATCGATCGGTGGTTGGTGGTGGTTGAGGTGGTAGTAAAAGAAGAAGAATTTTTAAACAAGGACGTGTGAATGTGTGTAATATTAGACAAATATTAGACATATTGAATAAAGTTTATTTATAAAAAGTTTTTACATTTATTTATTTATTTAAAAAAATCACAATTATAGGTGTATGTGAAAATGGGAAGGGGGTTTCAATTATGTCAATATTTTCAATATTTTTTAAAAATTTATTTATTTTTTATTTAGTTTTTTTTTAGGAACGGTGGGTGTGCACAATAATCGGATACGGAACACGGATGGGTGGAATTTTTTTTGAGTTGTATGCGTGCAAAATAATTTTTATGTTGAAATTGAAATAAAATACACACATTTACTCAAGCAACAAGTGCATGATTTGTTTATTTTTTTAATTATTTTTTCATTTTTGCAAAAAAATATAAGGTTTTTTTAACGCGTTTCCAGGATATTGGTTTTATGAAATAAAAAAAAAAAATAAATTTAAATCATAAATAAAAAAATTAGAATATTTATTGTGTAATTGAGTTAAAGCAATAAATTTATTATTGCAATTTTAATTTGTAATTGAATGAATTTAATAAAAAAAAGAAAAATAAATATTATTTATTGTATTTAGTTTAAGGTCATAATAATATTAAGTTATTATAGAATAGAGAAGAATAGAGTAGAAAGAGAGAGAGAGAGAGGTGCAAATAAAAAGTGTAATTAGAAGAAAAAGAAATGGAAGAAATAAAAAAGAAGAAAGAAGTTATAAATTATTAAAAATTCAAATGTTTTTAACATTATTAAGGTTTCTCTCAAAGTGGTTAATACTAAAAAGGAGGTTGATTAGAGGGGGTTTAAAGAAAAAATTAGTCGATTATTTTTGGGGATTGAGAGACTTTTATACCTTTAGATGCTTTCTTGACTTACAACCGCTTCACTTTTATTGAATAAAAATTTATTGTTTTGAAAAATTATGTGCATATTTACAAGGTGAATAGAGGTGTAATTCAGTAATTAGGACGGATAGTTTTAAACAATGTTTAAAAAATATTTTTGAGTGTTTTTCAGTTAAAATTTTTAAATAAAATATCCATACGAAATACTGAATCTTGTGAATTATACAATATTTACAATAATTTCTTAAAGTTTATTTTTAAAATATTTTTATTCTTTATCCATTTAAGTCGATTTCTTAAAAAATTATAAAAAACAATTACAATAACCATAACAAGTAAGAGTTGTATATTCGGCAGAGCCGGATCTTATATACTCTTCACCATGATGTGTTAAAAAATACAGTACTAATTTTATTACAAAAAATCAAAATATACCAGTCATAAAACGAAAAAGTGTCATAAAGTACCAAAAAGTCCCATTTTAAGTGCTCTCACTTAATCCGGGCTCTACATACATAATTTCATGTTTCTAGGTTCAATATTTTAGAAAATTCAAACCACGCCCCGAGGGCATGATGACAGATCCCATCTTGGTGTATTGCAATTCCGGGGTAAAGAGGTGCTACCAGTACCTCTAGTCTGCCGGGACTATAAACTGATGATGTCACTTCACTCATCGGCTATTCCGTGGTATGATTCGACATGGGGTCTAACCAGAGAACCACATAATCTGGTACTACGGGTGGCCACTTGCCCGCAGGACTTATCCTGGCTGGTCAGTTGGTTGAGGTTCCTTCGGGATCCACGTAGTGGCTGTGGTTTAAACCCAAATTCGCGGGAAGAGTAAGTGGAGGTTAAAGGGCTGATGTAAAGTAAAGTCAATATTTGGGGATAAGTTCGGTGCTGTTGCCGAAGACAATAGATACCCCACAGAGGAGTCACTGTGAGACTTGGAAATGAGTTGGTGTTGGTACGGTACGGGATGAATGTAAGGGTATGCGGGCACCACCCACCACCCCCCATATATGAGTGTGTAGGATGAATGAAAATTGTACTGGGTTGAATGATGATGGATGAAAGGTATCATACACAAATGATACCATCGAATTTTCCTTCCTTGTCCAGCTATGTTCAGAGTAAACTCTGTTCATATCAGAGTAAACTCTGTTCATATCATACCACAGTGTGTCACTGTGAGTAAGAACAAAGTCTCGGCTTATTTGATGGATTCGTACTTCGGTCTACCGGTTACGTCTCTAGATGCTGTTGCCAACTCAACAGAGACCATTCCATCTGCGTGGTTGTAAACGGAAGTGATGTTGTACATCTCGGAAGTTAAGCCACGGGGCAGCAATGGTCATAGATTAGATAGCTCGAACACTTGAGCCAAGTGCTTGTACCTGGACCCGCTTTAACCATGTACAGAAATTGCCACCTGATTTCTTCATTGAAGATCGAGGGGGCGGTGGTGAGTTGTCACAAAGCTCACCTAGTGATTGAAAAAGACCACCGTGAGATAGGCCAACACGGCGGGTACTCACGTAAAGCACTGGTGACGTGTCACCAGTGACATAATGTCCATTGACATTATGACACACCTAAAAGTGTTATTGTGTCCATGGACGTTATGACAATTCTTAAAAGTGTCATAATGTCCATTGTGGCAATTAAATGTATTGGAAAATTTGTTATGAATTTAGGAAAGGGACACTCTTATCCCAAAAAAATTGCTCCGAAATTTGACGTATGTTGAGTTTTGGATTCCTTTAAAAAAGTTTCCTGCATAGCCGGCCTTCGGCCGGGCTTTCAACTCTGGGATATTTCAAAAAGCGGCTTCTCGAAATTAGACTTTTTTGATAAATGGACTCATTGAAATCCATAGACTTTATGTCATTTTGCTCAAAGACATTGTGACACTTTTGAAATTGTCATAACGTCCATGGACACTATGACTCAATTTAGTGTGTCATAACGTCCATGGACATTATGACACGCCACCCAAGCAATTCGACTTCAATACACACGGATATACAGACGGACAGATATTTGAAAACAAACTTAACTAAGGAGTTACAAATTATACTTGTAATTTATGAGGACAGAAAATTATTATTTTTAAATTGTGAATAGAATAACAAACTTATATACATATGCCCTTCTCACGAAGGTAAAGGGTATAAAAATACCAGTTACTATCCAAAACGGAGTTTACTATTTTCAATATTTAACATTTCCATTACACATTTGGCATCGAAATTTACTTTGAGCAAAACTTTAAATTAAGAAACTCCATAGTCTAGACTCACATATCATACTATAATGTATGTATCTAATTTCACTCCTTAACCCTTATAACAGTTTTTCATTGTATAAATTTTCCTTCACGAGTACATACATACATTTAATATATTACTATACATTTGTTCGTAATTGTACCAAGTACTTGAGAAGTCATACAAACTGTTATTTTAATAAAGCCACGACCACATTCATACACACCACTCTTCCTATATATACAGCTGTTGTCAATTATTTAGTAACTGCAGCTTCGAATCTGTCCCTTTTTGACAAAGTTCCTTCAAAAACTGAATTTTGAAAGAACTTTGATATTGATCTGTATGATTGTGATATCTACTTAAACATTGGTTCAACATCAAAAGGGCTTTATTGAAAATCATGATATATTCAACGGTAATTTCTAATTTGCGAAATACAGCTGTTGTTCATACATGTACTGCTTATAGAAATATTCATTAGACTAGTCCAAGGAAAAGCTTTATGCTTCTAACCATGACTTCCATTACCAACATTTCAGACAGCTTTGATTATACACATATAGTATATATAATAACGCTTTTAACATTTTTAAATACCACTTTATATAACTTAAATGTCAAAATTTGGATCAGATCAGCTGATCTGTTCAGAAGTTAGAAGAAAATAATGTACACAGAGGGAAAAAAACGTTTTAAAATTATACACGCTTGGTACCAAATTGACACTAAAATGTTTATAATTTTTCAATAACATTCGTTGTCAAAGTATGTACGTATAGTAGTCAAATTAACAACAAAAACACATGACGTTATCAAATCACCAAAAAAATAATCAATAATACATGACTCTGTCAAATCATAAACGCGGATTCGATCTACGACTGGTGGCGGCTAACTAGGAAAATTAATACTTTTTAATACTTTAATTCCCTATGAAGTACGACAAATCGGAAAGGTCTACCAAATCGATTCTCTGTTTAAGGAATTTTAAAACTGAACCTGAACGCCCGTCTAATGTATATCCAAATATTCATTCTTATGAATGTATTACTACTATGTACATAAAATATACATATGTACGTATATCTGACAATTTGTATAGTTTTCTATTGTAATTCACTTCAATTTATTGTTGCGATTTTCTCTTCCAATTTCCTTGCTACCAGTATGATAAAGTTTTATTTGTATCTCTTAACTGTGTGAACATGACAATGTTGCCATTTATAACTTTAAAATATTTTACCTCAAAAGTGCTACTTGTTATTTGAGTTTCACTTGTTCATTTTTATTATTGATGTGCGTTCAGAACAGTATCAATCTGAATATATGGCAACACTAGAAACATATAATAAAAGCATTCACTTTTGAACTTTATAAATTTTTCTTAAATAAATGTTATTTCGCAATAAAAACAAATATTTTTTAATGCTTAATATTTAATTTTTTACGCTGCTGAAAGGAGTTGACGTTGATTTTTAACATAAAAGTTCTTAAATAAATTTAGCTAAAAACTTATGATTACGACTTGTGTAACAACATTCTAACAACAACCATAGATGAGATTGACCAGCAAATAATTTAATTATGTATATTAAAATGTTTCAAAGTATGTTGTCTATAAAAAGGATGTTCTATATGGGGAATTTCATGTCAAGTGACCCAACTCAAAAATCGAAATTTG